TCCAGTTTAATACTCGAATAAATCACTCCGTGCCGTCATCGACGTGGTGAACCTTCTTCATATGTGGCTTAATATACGACTTATCGACAAACTTCTTCTGACAAATCCCACACATGTGGGGCTTCTCTCCCGTGTGACTACACATGTGCTTCATCAGCTTATTCCTGTCAAAAAACGACTTGGGACACACATGACACAAATGTCTTTTCACCCTTTCGGGGACCTTCGCCTCCCCCACCCCGTGCACCCGCTTCTTATGCACATTCATCACCCTCTTGTGCTTATACTCCTTCTTACAAATATCACAAACAAACGCCCTCTGATTACTATGCGCCAGAAAATGCTTCTGCAACGAACTATTCACAACAAACTTCTTATCGCACAAATGACAAGCAAAAGGTCTCTCATTCCATTCTTATGCCTTCGCACGTGCGCGTCGAAATTAGTCTTCGTCGGAAACCTCTTGGAGCAAAACTCGCACACGTGGGGCCACACAGAGGGGTCAGTGTGAACTATAAACCTATGAGTACGAAGATCTTTATGCGTATTAAACCTCTTAAGACACTCCTCGCACTCGTACTACGTTTCCATTTTTCGATTGAATTAAATTTTCCTTTTGTCGAATTTTTGATTTCTCGACTTTTCGATTTCTCAATTTTCAGATTTTTCGATCTCTGCTTTTGATTTTTCGATTTTTTAGGTTTTAGACTTCTGTTTCATTCTTCAGTTTTCCGTTTTTTGATGTTTCAATTTTTCAGTTTTCGATATTTGGAATTTTTCAGTTTTTTAAATCTTCAATTCATCCAATCTCGATTTCCCGAATTTCCGATTTTTCGGTTTTTCGATATCGATTTTTAAATTTTTCTATCAATTTCTCAAAATTTCAGTGTTTCGTTTTCTCGACTTTGTGATTTTTCAGTGTTTCGATTTCTTTAATTCTTTGATTTTTCGATAATTAAATTTCCGATTTTTGCATTTTCCCACTGATTTTTCGATTTCTTGTTTTTCGACTTTTGGATTAAATTAAATTTTCAATTTCTCAAGTTCTCGATTTTTCGATGTCTCGATTTCTCCTTTTTCGACTTTTCGACTTTCTGATGTTTCGATTTCTCAATTTTTCGATATCTCGATTTCTGGATTTTTTGATTTTTCAGTTTTCCGATTTTTAAATTTTGAATTTTTCAGTTTTACGATATTCCGATTTCACGGCTTTTCGCTTTTTCGATTTCTTCATTTTTCGACTTTTCGATATCCCGATTTTTCACATTTTCGATTTCTCAATTTTTCTTTTTTTTTATTGAATTCAGTTTTAATTTTTCGATTTTTCGACTTTTCGATGTTTCAAATCGTCGATTTTGTCGGCTTTTCAATGTTTCAATTTCTCGACCTTTCGAATTTACAATTTTTCAATGTCTCGATTTCTGGATTTTTCGATTTTTCAATTTGACGATTTTTTAAATCTTGAATTGTTCAATTTATCGATTTTCCGCCATTTTGATTTTTCAATTTTCCAATTTTTCGATTTTGTCGACTTTTCAATGTTTGAATTTTTTGATTCCTTGACTTTCGGATTTTTCGATATCTCAATTTTTCAAATTTTCGATATCTCAATTTTTCAAATTTTCGATTTCTCAATTTTTCGAGATTTTAGTTTTCAGTGTTTAAATTTTCGAATTTTTGATATTTGAATTTTTTGACTTTTCGATTTCTCGATTTCTCAATTTTTCGATTCTTTATTTTTTGATAGAATTCAATTTTAATTTTTCGACTTTTCGATGTTGCATTGTTTCGATTTTTCGATATCTCGATTTTTAAAATTTTCAGTTTCTCAATTTTTCGAGTTTTTAGAGTTCAATGTTTAAATTTTCGAATTTTTCAATTTTTCGACTTTTTGATTTCCCAATTTTTCCATTTTTTGATATTTCGATTTCTCGATTTTTCGACTTTTAGATGTTTCGATTTTTCGATTTTGTCGGCTTTTCAATGTTTAGATTTTTCGCTTCCTTGACTGTCGGATTTTTCAATATCTCAATTTTTCGAGTTTTTAGTTTTCAATTTTTAAATTTTCGAATTTTTGATATTTCAATTTTTTGACTTTTCGATTTCTCGAGTTCTCAATTTTTCAATTTTTTGATGTTTAGATTTCTCGATCTTTCAATGTTTCGATTTCTCAATTTTTCGAGATTTTAGTTTTCAATTTTTAAATTTTCGAATTTTTGAAATCTCGATTTTTCAAATTTTCGATTTTTCAATTTTTCGATTTTTCATTTTTTGATTGAACTCAATTTTAATTTTTCGATTTCTCGATTTTTCGATGTTTCAATGTTTCGATTTTGTCGGTTTTTCAATGTTTAGATATCTCGATTTTTCAAATTTTCAGTTTCTCAATTTTTCGAGTTTTTAGTGTTCAATTTTTAAATTTTCGAATTTTTCGATTTTTCGCTTTTCGATTTCTTGATTTTCCAATTTTTCGATTTTTTGATGAATTCAGTTTTAATTTTTCGATTTCTCAATTTTTCGATTTTTCTATAATTGGATTTTTCGACTTCACGATTTTTCGATTTTTTAATTTTCCGATTATTTAAATTTTCACTTTTTCGATGTTTGGATTTCACGATCTTGCGACTTTTCGATTTCTCAATTTTTCGATTTTTGATTTTTCGATATCTCGATTTTTCAAATTTTCGGTGTTTCGGTTTCTTCACTATTTTTCGATATCTCGAATTCTGGATTTTTAGATTTTTCAATTTTCCGATTTTTTAAATTTTCAATTTTTCAATTTTCCGATTTTTTAAACTTTGGATTTTTCATTGTTTGACTTTCACGATTTTTTCACATTTCGATTTCTCATTTTTTCTATCTCTCGATTTTTGATTTTTCGAAATATCGATTTTTCAAATTTTAAATTTTTTATTATTTTAGTTTCTCGATTTTTCGACTTTTATTTCTCGATTTCCCAACTTTTAGATTTTTTGACATTTCGATGTCTCAGTCTTTCGGTTTTTCGATTTGTCAGTTCCATTTCTCGATTTTTCAATTAAATTAAATTTTTGATTTTTAATTTTTTCAACTTTTCAATGCAATTCATTCGAGAATTTACTTACCTCAGGTAGCTTCGATGTTTCGATATCTCGATGTTTCAATTTTCGATTTTTCATTTTTTGAGTGAATTCAATTTTAATTTTTCGATTTCTCGATTTTTCGACTTTTCGATGTTTCAATTTTTCGATTTTGTCGGCTTTTCAATGTTTAGATTTTTCGATTCCTTGACTTTCGGATTTTTTGATATCCTAATATTTCAAATTTTCGATTTCTCAATTTTTCGAGTTTTTAGTTTTCAATTTTTAAATTTTCGAATTAATGATATTTCGATTTTTCAGTATTCAATTTTTTGTATTTGAGATTTTTTGATTTTTCAATTTTTCGATTTTTCATTTTTTCATTGAATTCATTTTTATTTTTCGATTTCTCGATTTTTCGATATTTCGATTTTTCAAATTTTCGGTTTTGCAATTTTTCGAGTTTTTCGAGTTCAATTTTTAAATTTTTGAATTTTTAATATTTTAATTTTACAATTTTTGGACTTTTCGATTTCTCGATTTTCCAATTTGTCGATTATTCGACATTTCGATTTCTCAATTCTTTGATCTGCATTTTTGATTTTTCCATATCTCGATTTTTCAGTATTCAATTTCTTGTATTTGAGATTTTTTGATTTTTCAATTTCTCTATTTTTCGACTTTTCGATGTTTCAATTTTTGGATTTTGTCGGCTTTTTGGTGTTTAGATTTTTGTATTGCTTGACTTTCGGATTTTTCGACTCTCGATTTTTCAAATTTTCGATTTTTCAGTATTCAATTTTTTGTATTTGAGAGTTTTTAATCTTTCAATTCCTCAATTTCTCGATTTTTCGATGTTTCAATGTTTCGATCTTTCGATATCTCGATTTTTCAAATTTTCGATTTTTCAGTATTCTTTTTTTGTGTTTTAGATTTTTTGACGTTTTATTTTCTCGATTTTGTGACTTTTCGATGTTTCAATTTTGTCGGTTTTCAATGTTTCGGTTTCTTCACTATTTTTCGATATCTTGAATTCTGGATTTTTCGATTTTTCAATTTTCCGATTTTTTAAATTTTGAATTTTTCAATGTTTGTATTTCACGACTTTTTGACATTTCGATTTCTCAGTTTTTCCATCTTTCGATTTTTCGACTTTTATTTCTCGATTTCTCTATTTTTCGACTTTTCGATTTAATTTAATTTTAATTTTTCGATTTATGAATTTTTCGACTTTTCTTCCGGTTTACCAACATATTTCTCGATTGTCGACTTCTGGATTTTTCGATATTTCAATTTTTTTCATTTCTCAATTTTTCGATACTTTAGATTCGGAGTTTTCCAGTGTTTGATTCCTCAATTTTTTAGTTTTCCGATTTCTCGATTTTTCAGTTGAATTAAATTTTTGATTTTTAATTTTTTCAACTTTTCAGTGCAATTCATTCGAGAATTTACATACCTCAGGTAGCTTTAGCCAATAAGAACGTTGTATTTTGAAAAATTCAACCAAATTTTGAAAAAAAAACGGCGACAATATTTTTACGTCAATTAAATTAAATGTTTTTGAATTAGTATTTTGTTTATATTGATTTATGTAATGTATAGTTATTAAAATTATCCAAGTGAATATTAATGTTTGTGATTTTTGTTCGTCGGGTTGGCAACATATTCAATTTTGGCTGCTTGACAAATAATTAAAATTTTAGGCGCCAGTTCAAAAGCTGTTGTTTCATTGGTTCACAGATAACATTGCTGCCAACTCAAAAATTTGCTTCAGTTGCAATAATAAACCTGTGATCATAAAAATGTGCGTTTTATCAACAGTCGTTTCTTCGGTAAATTCTCAAATAAAATACCACGACGGAGATATTTTCTATTTTCAGATAATTGAAAGATTTATTTTGTTCGCCTTAATTTTAATTTGAGGTTATGTTTGTGAGCAGTATGTCAAAACCTCAATAATGTCAACACATTATTATTACTTAAAAATTGTACAAATCCAGTTTAATACTCGAACAAATCACTCCGTGTCGTCATCAACGTGGTGAACCTTCTTCATATGTGGCTTAATGTACGACTTATCGACAAACTTCTTCTGACAAATCCCACACATGTGGGGCTTCTCCCCCGTGTGACTACACATGTGCTTCACCAGCTTATTCCTGTCAAAAAACGACTTGGGACACACATGACACAAATGTCTTTTCACCCTTTCGGGGACCTTCGCCTCCCCCACCCCGTGCACCCGCTTCTTATGCACATTCATCACCCTCTTGTGCTTATACTCCTTCTTACAAATATCACAAACAAACGCTCTCTGATTACTATGCGCCAGAAAATGCTTCTGCAACGAACTATTCACAACAAACTTCTTATCGCACAAATGACAAGCAAAAGGTCTCTCATTCTTATGCCGGCGCACGTGCGCGTCGAAATTAGTCTTCGTCGGAAACCTCTTGGAACAAAACTCGCACACGTGGGGCCACACAGAGGGGTCAGTGTGAACTATAAACCTATGAGTACGAAGATCCTTGTGCGTGTTAAACCTCTTAAGACACTCCTCGCACTCGTACTCCTTCTTATTCAAGTGGAGCTTCTCGTGAATCCCCAGGTCGTTCCGGGTCTTGAACCCCTTTCCACAGAACGTACAAACGTGCGAGCGCTCGCTTTTGTGGTACTGCAAGTGTCGGGGCAGATTCGTGGCGCACGCGAAGCGCTTCGGACACAGCGAGCACCTGAACGGTCGCACGGTCTTGGCGTCGAGGTGGTGCTCCGCCACCGCGTGCGCCACGAAGTCGGTGCTGGTTTTGAACGTGTTCTGGCAGATGTCGCAAGTGAAGGTTTTTTTGGGCTTGGGCTCGGGGGGCGACGAGTCGGGTGGGGGCGGCGTGGTGGATTCCTCTTTGACGATGTCGAAGATGTGGTACTCGGGCATGGGGGATGGGGGGTCTATTTTTTTCTGGGTGCGGAGAGTGGCGCTGCTGAGGCACTTCTCTCGGAATGAGTAAACGAGGTCTAGGTCGGTGGTGCAGGGAAGGCAGATGGTGTAGTCGTCTTTCCACTCCTACAAGGCAAAGGGTGAGATGGGGACGGCGCGACGTGGGGGCTTACGATTTCGGGGACGCATGACTGGAGTTTGCACTTTGTGGAGGGGCTGTCGCTGGTTTCGACTAGTTTGCGGAAGTGGGGGCCTAGGGCGAGGCAGACGCAGCAGATGTGCTCGACTTTTTCCATTATTTTGTGGTTGGGGAGGTTTTTCTAGTCGGACATAACCTCATTTTTTAGATAACCTCAAAACATTTTATTCTAGATCATCTAGATTGAACACAAGGCTTGTTTATTTGGTCTATTATCGCTGCTATTACACATAAATAAATAAGCGTTTGAGCGAATTATACAGATATATCGAAAGCTTCTTATTAAATCTGAATGTAAGGCTAAGTTCAATTTTAAATTAAATTATGCAACCAACATTACACACCAATTTAAACGTCAAAATTAATCAGAATGATTACGTCTGTTGGCAATTTTGGAGTTTTAACTGAAATTGCTACCTGTGTACACTAATTGTAAATTTATCAAAATTATAATAATTAACCCTTGAAAAATTGAAAAATCCAATTCAGCAGTTTTTCGATGTTGCAGCTTGAAATTTTCGATTTTTCAAAATCTCAGATTAGATTTTGTTGAAAGTTGTAAAATCAAGATCGAATAGTTGCTAAATTAACAACTAAAAAATCGAAATTTCCATCTTTGTCAATTTTTGATTGCTTTATTTCAGTCATTCAAGTGTTTCAGTTTTAAAAGAATCATGACTGAATAAATAATATTTAAACATAATCAATATTATTTATACTGTTATTTAAATAGAAAACATGACGTTTTTTAAAACAATTTAATTTGTTTAAATATTGTTAAATCAACCTCGAAAGTGGCCGAAATGAGATACCATCTAAGAAAAGAGAGAGAGGGTGGGTGGGTGGGGCTACTACTTTCTAAGATAAAACTGATTTTGGCAAATCACATACCCTCTAAGAAAAGATAAGGTGGGTGGGCGGGCTTAGTACCTGCTAAGATTAGAGTGACTTTGGCAAATGAGATACCTTCTAAGAAAATGAAGGGCAGAGGGTATATCATTTGGCAAAATCAGTCTTATCTTGACAAGTATTGGGTCTACAGATTTTTGTAATAAATAATTTTAATAAATTTTTATCCCGGCGCCTCCACCATTTTTATCAAAAAAATTTAAGCTTGACGAATGAGTTTACAATATTATCATTCTTTTCAGAAATTTTCTCAGGATCACGAATCTGTTCTTTTTTTCGCAATGTCTTTTCAAATAACCGAGAAAGAGATGTATATAAGCAAAAAAATACATTTTCCTCAAAACTGGTCATTTATTTTCGTACTTTTCGTCCTTTTCGTCCTTTTTCGCCCTTTTCCTCCTTTTTCGTCCTTTCTCCTACTTTTCGTCCTTTTTTCTTCCTTTTCCGTCCGTTTTGTCCTTTTTATCCTTTTCGTCCTTTTTATCCTTTTCGATATCTCGTTTCTCAAATTTTTGATTTTTCGCTTTTTAGATTCTTTAAATTTTCGATTTTTCGATTTCCCACTTTTTCGATCTCTCTTAATTTTTCGGCTTTTCAATATTTCGATTTCTTGATTTTTCAGATTTTGAATTTTTCGATTTTTTAAATTTAGAATTTTTCAATTTTTCGTTATTTGGATTTCACGATTCGACATTTCGGTTTCTCAGTTGGACTTTCCGATTGATTCAATTTTTCGTTTTTCGATTAAATTGAATTTTCAATTCCCCAAATCCTCTATTTTTGGATGTCTCGATTATTTGATTTTCGATGTTTCGATTTCTCTTTTTCGACTTTTCGATGTTTAGATTTCTCGATTTTCGGATTTTTCGATTATTCTATTGGATTTCGCGATTTTTCAATGTTTCGATTTTTCCACTTCGTCCTTTTTGTCCTTTTTGTCCTTTTCGTCCTTTTTCGTCCTTTTTCGTTCTTTTTCCTGCTTTTCGTACTTTTTCGTCCTTTTCGTCTTTTTTCGTCCTTGTCATCCTTTTCCGTCCTTTTCGTCCTTTTTATCCTTTTCGATATCTCGTTCCTCAAATTTTCGATTTTTCACTTTTTAGATTCTTTAAATTTTAGATTTTTCGATTCCCACTTTTTCGATTTCTTTTAATTTTTCGGCTTTTCAGTATTTCGACTTGTCGATTCTTCAGTTTTTTGATTTTTCAATTTTTTCAGTTTTTACATTTTTCAATTTTAGATTTTTCCATTTCCCACTTTTTCGATTTTATTCTTAATTTTTCGGCTTTGCAATATTTCGATTTCTCGATTTTCAGTTTTTAAATTTTTCGATTTTTTAAATTTAGAATTTTTCAATTTTTCGTTGTTTGTACTTCACGATTCAACATTTCGATTTCTCAGTTTTTCAATCTCTTGACTTTTTATTTTTCGAATTTGCGGTATTTCGATTTTTCGACTTTTGGATGCTTCGATTTTTCGATTAAATTAAATTTTCGGTTTCCCGAGTTTTCGATTTTTCAATCTTTCGAATTTTTTACTTCTTCGATTTTTCGATAATTAAATTTCCGATTTTTGGACTTTCCGATCGATTTTTCTATTTTTCGTTTATCGATGAAATTAAATTTTCAATTCCCCAAATCCTCTATTTTTGGATGTCTCGATTATTTGATTTTTCGATGTTTCGATTTCTCTTTTTCGACTTTTCGATGTTTAGATTTCTCGATTTTCGGATTTTTCGATTATTCTATCCGATTTCGCGATTTTTCAATGTTTCGATTTTTCGACTTCGTCCTTTTTGTCCTTTTTATCCTCTTTCGTCCTTTTTTGTCCTTTTTCGTTCTTTTTCCTACTTTTCGTTCTTTTTCCTACTTTTCGTCTTTTTTCGTCCTTGTCATCCTTTTCCGTCCTTTTCGTCTTTTTTATTCTTTTCGATATCTCGTTTCTCAGATTTTCGATTTTTCACTTTTTAGATTCTTTAAATTTTAGATTTTTCGATTTCCCACTTTTTCGATTTCTTTTAATTTTTCGGCTTTTCAATATTTCGACTTGTCGATTCTTCAGTTTTTTGATTTTTCAATTTTTTCAGTTTTTACATTTTTCAATTTTAGATTTTTCGATTTCCCACTTTTTCGATTTTATTCTTAATTTTTCGGCTTTGCAATATTTCGATTTCTCGATTTTCAGTTTTTAAATTTTTCGATTTTTTAAATTTAGAATTTTTCAATTTTTCGTTGTTTGTACTTCACGATTCGACATTTCGATTTCTCAGTTTTTCAAGCTCTTGACTTTTATTTTTCGAATTCGCGGTATTTCGATTTTTCGACTTTTCGATGTTTCGATTTTTCGATGAAATTAAATTTTCGGTTTCCCAAGTTTTCGATTTTTCGGTTTTTCGATATCGATTTCTAAATTTTTCGACATTAATTTTCGATTTTTCAATCTTTCGAATTTTTTACTTCTTCGATTTTTCGATAATTAAATTTCCGATTTTTGGACTTTCCGATCGATTTTTCTATTTTTCGTTTATCGATGAAATTAAATTTTCAATTCCCCAAATCCTCTATTTTTGGATGTCTCAATTATTTGATTTTTCGATGTTTCGATTTCTCTTTTTCGACTTTTCGATGTTTAGATTTCTCGATTTTCGGATTTTTCGATTATTCTATTCCATTTCGCGATTTCTCAATGCTTCGATTTTTCGACTTCGTCCTTTTTGTTTTTTTTCGTCCTTTTTCCTACTTTTCGTCCTTCTTCGTCCTTTTCGTCCTTTTCATCTTTATCGTCACTTTTCGTCCTCTTTCGTTCTTTTCATCTTTTTCGTCCTTTTCGTCCTTTTTCGTTCTTTTCGTCCTTTTCGTGCTCTTTCTTCCTTTTTCGTCCTTTTTCGTTCTTTTCGCCCCATTTCGTCCTTTCCGTCCATTCCATCTTTTTTCGTCCTTTTTCGTCCATGTTCGTCCTTTTCGTCCTTTTTCGTCTTTTTTCCTACTTTTCGTCCTTTTTCGTCCTCTTCGTCCTTTCCACTCTTTTTGGTCCTTTCTCGTCCTTTTCGTACTTTTTCGTCCTTTTTCGTTCTTTTCGTCCTTTCCGTCCTTTTTCGTCCTTATCGTCCCTTTCATCGTTTTCCGTCCTTTTTCGCCCCTTTTCGTCCTTTTCCCTACTTTTCGTCCTTTTCGTCATTTTTCGTCCATTTTCGTCCTTTTCGTCCTTTTTCGTCATTTTTCATCCCTTTCGTCCTTTTCGTCCTTGTTCGTCCTTTTCGTCCTTTTCGTCCCTTTTCGTCCTTTCCGTCCTTTCCATTCTTTTTGGTCCTTTTTCTTCCTTTTCGTCCTTCTCGTCTTTTTTCGTCCTTTTTCCTGCGTTTCGTCCTTTTTCGGTCGCTTTCATCCTTTCCGTCCTTTTTCGTCCTTTTCGTCCTTTTCATCGTTTTCCGTCCTTTTCGTCCTATTTGTCCTTTTTCGTCCTTTTTCCTACTTTTCGTCCTTTTCGTCCTTCTTGTCTTTTTCGTCCCTTTTCGTCCTTTTTCCTACTTTTCGTCCTTTTCGTCATTTTCGTCCTTTTCGTCATTTTCGTCCTTTTCGTCACCCTGGGCGGGGTTAGTACCTGCTAAGATAAGAGTGATTTTGGCAAATCAGACACCCTGTAAGAAAATGAAAGGTAGAGGGTATGTCATTTGGCAAAACCAGTCTTATCTTGGCAAGAATTGGGCCTACAGATTTTTGTAATAAATAATTTTAATAAATTTTTATCCAGGCGCCTCTACCATTTTTATCAAAAAATTTAAACTTGACGAATGAGCTTACAATGTTATCATTCTTTTCAGAAATTTTCTCAGGATCACGAATCTGTCCTTCCTTTCTTGATTTATTTTCAAATAACCGAGAAAGAGATGTTTATAAGGAAAAAAATACCACATTTTTGTCAAAGCCGGTCATTTATTTTCCTTCAGGTCTATGTTCGTTCCGCTATTTAATTAGATATCAAAACATCCAAAGAAAGTCATAATTTCTTTTAACACACACTATTTCTGAAAGGAGTTCGTACAGATTTTTGTAATAAATAATTTTAAAATAAATTTTTATACCGGCGCCTCCACCATTTTTATCAAAAATTTAAACTTGATGAAATGAGCTTACAATGTTATCATTTTTTTCAGAAAGTTTCTCAGGATCACGAATCTGTCCTTCCTTTCTTGATTTATTTTCAAATAACCGAGAAAGAGATGTTTATAAGGAAAAAAAAATACCACATTTTTCTCAAAGCCGGTCATTTATTTTCCTTCAGGTCTATGTAGGTTTCGCTATTTAATTAGATATCAAAATACCCCAAAAAAATCATACTTTCTTTTAACATACACAATTTCTGTTGTTGAACAAACAGCCCTACTTTTAAGCCAAAACGAAGCTCTGATGTTGCTGCCACCAAACCGAAATCAAAACTAAACACAGAGGACCGAAAAATGTGACCTTTTATCAGGTAGCTCACGTGACAGTGACGTCATCGTACGTCACGATGAGACTGCAAAAATTATTTTTCATATTTTGGCCGGGAAAATGCACATTTTCGGGGATAATTTAACATTGTTTAAATAAATTGATTTGTTTTTAATAATTTCAAGCTTGTAGGACAAGTATCGGTTTAATTATCATATAAATTTATGCTTATCATATTTAAACATTACAAGTGATATTAATTATGTTTAAAGTTTATATCTTGAAAATTTATAGCTTTGATCAACCAACTTCAATCGTTTCGAAAATGTTCCCAAAATTTAAACATTGTCGAGTGAACGAATCACGGAATCCGATAAATTACTAGTTGCATAACCAACCAATCTTTATAGAAATACAGAGTGCTCATTTTATCTGTTCACGCCTGAATTATTCGGCATAGGCAACCCATTTTACATTTTTAAAACAGCTATATTAATAGAGTATCAATTTTTTCAATTTTGTCTTTATTTGGCATCTACATCGTTGTCATTTTTTTTCTGATTGGTATGACTGTCAGGCGTGAACAGCTAAAATGAACACTCTGTATATATGTATAAAAAAACAACAGGATTTCTAGGGATAATTTAATATACATCAAACGGCATTCACAATGTTTTTCTTTCAATAATAATTCATCTACTGCGCTCTTCAGGGGTTTTAAATGGATAACCAATAAAATCGAAAATGTCTCTCTCTGAGTGAATTTCCACCGGCTCTCCTGGAACCCCCGTGCTCCCCACAGGTCTCAAACTGTACTCATTTAAAGTAAACCCGGCTTCCAGCGCATGCGCCCTCATCTCCTTGTTGAACATGTTGGACCCTGTGAAGTACAAAACAGCGCAAAAAAACTGGTCATATGGCGTCAATCTAATATCCAATCTCCTCGTCACTGAACCCCCTTCAAGCTTGCAAGCCCCCATGAATTTAGTGTCCCCTAAAGACAGCGTTTCTGTGATTAAACCACACTTCTGGAGGGCCCCAACGACGTTCTTGAGAGTATTCTTATTTTTCTTTTTCTTGCTTAAGTAACTAGGGTGTGTGATGAGGGCGTCAATGTCGCCACTTTCGTCCTTGCCTCGCCTGTAGCTTCCACATATAGTAATTTGGATGTCAGGGTCCAACTGTCTCAGGTGTTTTTGGATGACAGTCTCAATTTCCGTGATTTCTTGCCTGGGGATTTTTTTTTCAAAATCGTCAAAATATCTGAAATTATTATTATTAACAACGGGTTTCTAATTTTGTTAAAGTTTACTTTAAACCAATGATTTGGTGGTGGTTTAGCTTGTCTTTGTGTTTGTCTAACTGTTCCAAGGTGGTGATCCCCTCATTCACTAAACTCTGGGCTTTCGCCGGCCCTATTCCGGACACTCGGGTCAATAAATTAATCGCTGCGTTTTTCGAATCGTTCTGGATCTGGAAATTTCCACTTTATTCGCGTCAGGGGCTATAAATCAGTTACATTTTCGAGTTTTTGGAGTTTCCCAGTCGCCAGGAATTCGTCGATTTTCTTGGCGATTTTTTCCCCGATTCCGTTGAGTTTTTTGGCTTGGCTTCCCGAGGTGATTCGAGTCGGGAGAGCGCTTAAAACGCTCGCCGCTTTCCTGTACGCATTATACTTGTGGATGTTTCTACTCACGTTTTTTTCGTATTCGGCTAGCTCTACAAGTTTGAGGTTAGATAAGTTTGCGCGATTGTTACAAATACCTAAGAGAAATTCGCAAAAGTCGTGATTCGGGGTGTCTTCGTCCGCTGGGGCTTTCCTTTTGCCCATTTTTGGCCACAAAATTTGAAAATCGATTCGAATTTGACATAACCTGAAACGTCAAACTGAGAAATGTCAATGGAAACTGCGTTCAGCGGATGCTTTCGCTTGGCGTTCATTGGTTGTTGTCTCTGGGTTAAGTTAAACTAATCACCAAATTAAATACGTTTATTAAGTTCTAATAAATATTTTCTACAAGTACTTGAATCGGCTAATTTCTAACATATATTTACATACATTAAAACATGTTGTTTAACAACATTCACTGAAGTTTTACATTAAACATACAGTTATTAAACTTACAATAGCAACATTTCATATAAAATATAAATCAAACTTAATTGTTAAAAATTTGCAAGTGTCACATAATTTGGCGCCAACGAGGTGACTCCGTTCCATAAAACATGACCTATGGAAAAAATCGAACGACCACATCAAATTATCCTACGACCAATAGACGAAATGAAACCATCGTGATAATAACATCCAACAAGAGTTAAGGTTTTAGCACACAAAAATAAATAAATCTTATATACTCTGTCAAAGGTACTCGCAATAACGATACGTTTCATTCAGGCACTACAGTTTATCTTTTTAAATGTTTGTTGATTTAAAATCTACGCGAATCACCCAGTCCCTTTTGAATATGTTACAACAGATAAACATCGAGGGTTTTCCGTAAATTGCCACACATCGGTTGTTTTCTACATTAACAGCAACAATCGATATGAAAATACAAGTATATCGAAACTATCGCTATTTTGTAAGCAGTACACACATAAAGACGGCGACGCCCAGCGCGAGTTTGATCCTCATTTGTCTTTGATGGTTAACCCCTAAAAATATTCTATACACATTTATATAAAGCGTGTCTGTCGTTATACTTGTAAACATATTCTGAAAAGTTATTTGAATTTGGCGCGGCGCGCCGGTCGGGTCCGGTCGGGTCCGATCGGCGCGGGCCGGCCGCGAAACCTAACCACTAATAATATTCACATGTACAACAGTATTAACGCTACGGTTAAGGTATCACAAAAAATACTTGTCGTTTTATTTGAATTTCCGCAGTCGACTCTGATCTCTAATTTTCTGAAAGGGTAGCGAAGCTGCGAACTAAACCAAGATGGCGCCGACTCCGTTCTCTTGAAATTATGAGTTATTGTCACGTGATGGGAAACTTTTGAGGTTATGTTCTACCGAATTTGCCTTTAGATGAGAAAATGTGATGAGGTCGCGCCATTTTGGTTCGCCCCTTACTCGGGCTTAAGCCGGTGCCACTGGACGATGGTCTGCCGGGGCTTCGTTATCATGTCCTGCCAGTGCTTCGTCTCCGACGCGCCGGACCCGTTTTTGCCTGAAACAACGTTGCGAGTGAAATAAAGCGTGATTATGGCACAAGGGAAAAAAGTGTCGTCGGTATTTCAGGGAAGCGCTCACCTGCCAGCAGAATCCGTCCGATTAGCTCGTTCCTGCCGATGTTATCGAAGTCCATGACCATCACGTCGAGCGAACACTCCCTTATTTTCTCCCATGGCACGTTGAATGAGAACGTGTCGTTGAAAACGGGGTTCAGTGTACACTTGAAAATGGCCGTTTTGCGCTTCTCGATGCGTTTGTCGCCGAATTGTAGCCACACTTTGACGTACGGATCTAAAAAAATACGACAAAAATAAATTTTTAGTTTAAAATACTGCTATACGTGTTTCGGTACACACAAAATCTTCAGGCAAATAATATAGAAGTTTGCACATTTTCCAGAATCGTTAACTGCAAAATCCACATTTCCTTACAAAAATTTACCATTTTAAACCTTCTGTTAAGTTTCTAAGAATAAAAAAATCATCACAATTATGATGGGGTGGGTGGGCGGGGCTTATATTTTGGCTTTTTTCTTAATATACGTAGTGTTCTTTGAACAACCCGATACTCAAAAATATGTTTTTAATTTGTTGTAAAGAAATAAGTATTTTGCAGCTAAGCTCCGCCCCCTCGGTTCAAGGCGAATAAAAAAAATCATTACAATTGAGATAGGGCGGGCGGGCGGGCTTACATTTTGTCTTTTTGTTTTAAAATCTGTAGACTTCTTTTCACAACATGAAACTTAAATTTTGACCAAAAGTTCAATTTTAAAAATACAAAAATATGAAAAAAAAGGAAAAATCTGATGAGAAAGACTCGAATTTTTGACATGAAAATTTTGAAAAAATTGCAAAATGTCAATAATACACTTTGAGGCTTTAACAGTCATTTTATTATATTGCCAAGAAATTGGCATCTTGAAATAAACCCAGAATTTAAAATGACATGAAAGTCTAAAAAAAAAATGAGAACAAAAAATTCAGTTAACAAAAATTTAAAGAATTTGATTTTGAAAAAAACATTTAAAATCCAACAAAATCTTCAAAAAAGGAAACAAAAAATATATCAGGAAAACGCTCACGGTTGGATTAAAGTGCATCTTAAAAACACAGGTTTTGAAAAAATGAAAACAAGTGGAAAATGTAAAAAAAAACAGAAAAAAAAACAATAGGAAAATCTGCCAAGTTTATACAAATAAAATTTTAACAACTGAGAAACCGAAAAATCAATGATTTTTGGCAAATGACATATCCTCTAAGAAAATAAAGGGTGGGTGGGCGGGGCTAGTACTTGTAAAGATAAGTCTGATTTTGGCCAATGATATACCTTCTAAGAAACAAGAGAGTGAGTGGGCGGGGCTTATTTTTTTTTTCTTAGAAGGTTTTTCGATTTTTCGATTTTTTCAGTTTTTCGATTTGTTAATTTAATTTTTCTATTTTCATGTTTCATTTTTCAATTTTTGAAGATTCTAAATTTCTAAATTTTACATTTCTCGATTTGCCAATATTTCGATTTTTCGGTTTTCCAATTCTTCAGTTTTTCGATGTTTTCAATTTTTAAAAGTTTACGTTATTTAAATTTTACATTTTTCGATATTTCAGTGTTAAAATTTTTCAATTTTTCAGTTCTTTAAATCCTCGATTTCTCGATTTCATCGTTTTTGGATTTTTCGATTTTTTAAGTTTTTCGATTTGTTAATTTAATTTTTCTATTTTCTTCTTTCATTTTTCAATTTTCCCATTTTTCAATTTTTGAAGTTTCTAAATTTCAAAATTTTAAATTTCGCGATTTGCCAATATTTCGATTTTTCGGTTTTTCAATTCTTCAGTTTTTCGATGTTTTCAATTTTTAAAAGTTTACATTCTTTTTTCTCGATTTATAGATTTTTCGATTTTTCATTTTTGGCTATTTAAATTTTACATTTTTCGATATTTCAGTGTTGAAATTTTTCAATTTTTCAGTTCCTCAAATCCTCGATTTCACGATTTCATCGTTTTTCGATTTTTCCATTTTTTCAGTTTTTCGATTTGTTAATTTCATTTTTCTATTTTCATGTTTCATTTTTGAATTTCCCCGTTTTTCAATTTTTGAAGTTTTTAAATTTAAAATTTTTACATTTCTCGATTTGCCAATATTTCGATTTTTCGGTTTTTCAATTCTTCAGTTTTTAAAAGTTTACATTCTTTTTTCTCGATTTATAGATTTTTCGATTTTTCATTTTTGGCTATTTAAATTTTACATTTTTCGATATTTCAGTGTTGAAATTTAAAAATTTTTCAGTTCTTCAAATCCTCGATTTCTAGATTTCATTGTTTTTCGATTTTTCGATTTTTTCAGTTTTTCGATCTGTTAATTTAATTTTTCTATTTTCATGTTTCATTTTTCAATTTTTGAAGTTTCTAAATTTTAAAATTTTACATTTCTCGATTTGCCAATATTTCGATTTTTCGGTTTTTCAATTCTTCAGTTTTTCGATATTTTCAATTTTTAAAAGTTTACATTTTTTTTCTCGATTTATAGATTTTTCGATTTTTCATTTTTGGCTATTTAAATTTTACATTTTTCGATATTTGTGTTGAAATTTTTCATTTTTTCAGTTCTTCAAATTATCGATTTCTCGATTTCATCATTTTTCGATTTTTCTGTTTTTTCAGTTTTTCGATTTGTTAATTTAAATTTTCTATTTTCATCTTTCATTTTTCAATTTTCCCATTTTTTAGTTTTTGAAGTTTCTAAATTTCAAATTTTTACATTTCGCGATTTGCCAATATTTCGATTTTTCGGTTTTTCAATTCTTCAGTTTTACGATGTATTCAATTTTTAAAATTTTACATTTTTCGGTTTTCTCGATTTATAGATTTTTCGATTTTTCATTTTTGGCTATTTAAATTTCACATTTTTCGATATTTCAGTGTTAAAATTTTTCAATTTTTCAGTTCTTCAAATCCTCGATTTCTCGACTTCATCGTTTTTCGACTTTTCGATTTTTCAGTTTTTCGATTTGTTAATTTAATTTTTCTATTTTCATGTTTCATTTTTCAATTTTCCCATTTTTCAATTTTTGAAGTTTCTAAATTTCAAATTTTTACATTTCTCGATTTGCCAATATTTCGATTTTTCGGTTTTTCAATTCTTCAGTTTTTCGATATTTTCAATTTTTAAAATTTTACATTCTTCGATGTTCTCGATTTATAGTTTTTTCGATTTTTCAGTTCTTCAAATCCTCGATTTTTCGATTTCATCATTTTTCGATTTTTCGATTTTTTCAGTTCTTCGATTTGTTAATTTAATTTTTCTATTTTCATATTTCATTTTTAAATTTTCCCATTTTTCAATTTTTGAAGTTTCTAAATTTCAAATTTTTTTTCGCGATTTGCCAATATTTCGATTTTTTGGTTTTCCAATTCTTCAGTTTTTCGATGTTTTCAATTTTTAAAAGTTTACGTTATTTTTTTCTCGATTTATAGATTTTTCGATTTTTCATTTTTGGCTATTTAAAATTTCACATTTTTCGATATTTCAGTGCTGAAATTATTCAATTTTTCAGTTCTTCAAATCCTCGATTTCTCGATTTCATCGTTTTTCGACTTTTCGATTTTTTTAGTTTTTCGATTTGTTAATTTAATTTTTCTATTTTCATGTTTCATTTTTCAATTTTTGAAGTTTCTAAATTTCAAATTTTTACATTTCTCGGTTTGCCAATATTTCGATTTTTCGGTTTTCCAATTCTTCAGTTTTTCGATGTTTTCAATTTTTAAAAGTTTACGTTATTTTTTTCTCGATTTATAGATTTTTCGATTTTTCATTTTTGGCTATTTAAATTTCACATTTTTCGATATGTCAGTGTTGAAATTTTTCATTTTTTCAGTTCTTCTAATCCTCGATTTCATCGTTTTTCGATTTTTCGATTTTATCAGTTTTTCGATTTGTTAATTTAATTTTTCAATTTTCCCATTTTTCAATTTTTGAAGTTTCTAAGTTTCTAAATTTCAAATTTTTACATTTCTCGGTTTGCCAATATTTCGATTTTTCGGTTTTTCAATTCTTCAGTTTCTCGATGTTTTCAATTTTTAAAAGTTTACGCTATTTTTTTCTCGATTTATAGATTTTTCGATTTTTCATTTTTGGCTATTTAAATTTCACATTTTTCGATATTTCAGTGTTGAAATTATTCAATTTTTCAGTTCTTCAAATCCTCGATTTCTCGATTTCATCGTTTTTCGACTTTTCGATTTTTTTAGTTTTTCGATTTGTTAATTTAATTTTTCTATTTTCATGTTTCATTTTTCAATTTCTGAAGTTTCTAAATTTCAAATTTTTACATTTGTCGGTTTGCCAATATTTGGATTTTTCGGTTTTTCAATTCTTCAGTTTTTCGATGTTTTCATTTTTTAAAATTTTACATTCTTTGATTTTCTCGATTTATAGATTTTTCGATTTTTCATTTTTGGCTATTTAAATTTTACATTTTTCGATATTTCAGTGTTGAAATTTTTCAATTTTTCAGTTCTTCAAATCCTCGATTTCTCGATTTCATCGTTTTTTGATTTTTCGATTTTTTCAGTTTTTCGATTTGTTAATTTAATTTTTCTATTTTCATATTTCATTTTTGAATTTTCCCGTTTTTCAATTTTTGAAGTTTCTAAATTTCAAATTTTTACATTTCTCGATTTGCCAATATTTCGATTTTTCGGTTTTTCAATTCTTCAGATTTTCGATGTTTTCAATTTTTAAAATTTTACATTCTTCGGTTTTCTCGATTTATAGATTTTTCGATTTTTCAGTTTTTGATTTTTCATTTTTGGCTATTTAAAATTTTACATTTTTCGATATTTTAGTGTTGAAATTTTTCAATTTTTCAGTTCTTCAATTCTTCGATTTCTCAATTTTTTCAGGTTTTCATTTTTTCGATTTTCTTGTTTCATTTTTCAATTTTTCAATTATTTTTTTGACTTTGATTTTTCGATTTCTTACTTTTTAGAGTTTTCGGTTTTTCGATTTGAAATTTCGAGTTCCCAATTTTTCGAATTTTCAGTTTTTGATTTTTCAATTTTGGCCATTTCGAATTTTACACTTTTCGATATCTAAGTGTTGGAATTTTTCAAATTCTCGATTTTTCCATTTCATTTTCACTTTTCATTATTCAATTTTTTATTTATTTTTTCGATTTTTCGACTTTGTACCCCTACACCTAATTTCAGCTGATTTGTACTGTTTAACAAAAATTTAAAGAATTAGATTCTGAAAAAAACATTTAAAGTGTAATAAAATCTCCGAAAAAGCAAACAAAAAATATATTAGGAATACGTTCACGATTTCGATTAAAGTGAAGCTAAAACACAGGTTTTTAAAAAATGAAAACAAGGGGAAAATCTAAAAAAAAAAAACAGAAAAAAATTATATACTAGGAAAATCTGCAAAGTTTATACAAATAAAATTTCAACAAATAGGAAACCGAAAAATCAACTTTTCAACACAAAATGAATATCGTAAGAAGGAAAGTCTAGATGTTGAGAAAACATTAAAAATAGTAAAAACATCTCGGAAGGAAATTTGAAAACTATATTAGGAAAATCTTTACGATTTCGAGCAAAAGTTCAGCTTTAAAAACACGAAAATACGAAAAAAAAGGAAAAATCTGAAGAGAAAGACTCGAATTTTTGATATGAAAATTTTGAAAAAAATTTCAAAATGTCAATAATGCACTCTGGGGCTTTAACACACATTCCACTATATTGACAAGAAATTGACATCTTGAAATAAACCCAAATTTAAAATGACGTGAAAGTTAAAAAAAATGAGAACAAAAAAAATTCAATTAACAAAAATTTAAAGAATTAGATTCTGAAAAAAACATTTAAAGTCCAATAAAATCTCCAAAAAAGCAAACAAAAAATATATTAGGAATACGTTCACGATTTCGATTAAAGTGAAGCTAAAACACAGGTTTTTAAAAAATGAAAACAAGGGGAAAATCTAAAAAAAAAAACAGAAAAAAATTATATACTAGGAAAATCTGCAAAGTTTATACGAATAAAATTTTAACAAATAGGAAACCGAAAAATCAACTTTTCAACACAAAATGAATATCGTAAGAAGGAATGTCTAGATGTTGAGAAAACATTAAAAATAGTAAAAACATCTCGAAAGGAAAATCGAAAACTATATTAGAAAAATCTTTACGATTTCGAGCAAAAGTTCAGCTTTAAAAACACGAAAATACGAAAAAAAAAAGGAAAAATCTGAAGAGAAAGACTCGGATTTTTGATACGAACATTTTGAAAAAAAAATTCAAAATGTCAATAATGCACTTTGGGGCTTTAACAAATATTCCATTATATTGACAAGAAATTGACAGCTTGAAATAAACCCAAAATTTAAAATGATATGAAAGTTAAAAAGAAAGAGAACAAAAAAAAAAATCAATTAACAAAAATTTAAAGAATTACATTCAGAAAAAAACATTTAAAGTCCAATAAAATCTCCAAAAAAGCAAACAAAAAATATATTAGGAATACGTTCACGATTTCGATTAAAGTGCAGGTTAAAAACACAGGTTTTGAAAAAGCGAAAACAAGGGAAAAATTCGAATTTTTTGACAACTTTCTTAAAGTGAAGTCTTTCCTATACTTCCTGCTTCCTCAAAATTCGACCCATTTTTGTCCATTTTGTACTTGTTAGGATAAGACTGATTTTGGCGAATGACATATTCTCTAAGAAAATAGAGGGCGGGTGGGCGGGGCTTGTCCTTGCCAAGATAAGACTGATTTGGCAAGTCACATAGTCTCTAAGAAAATACAGGGTGGGTGGGCGGGGCTTGTATTTGCCATGATAAGACTGATTTGGCAAATCACATAGTCTCTAAGAAAATAAAGGGTGGGTGGGCGGGACTTGTACTTGCTAAGATAAGACTGACTTTGGCAAATGATATATCCTCTGAGAAAATATAGGGTGGGTGGGCGGGGCTTGTTCTTCCTAAGGTAAGACAGGACAGTTTTTTTAGAATCGGCCTTTCAAATATCTAAATTTTTGGAATTTTAAAAAAATTTGATTTCAAATCCGAACATTTTGACAATTTTGCACGACGAATATACAAACGGAATCAGCACGTCAAGATCTACATCGCTGAATTTTTTGAGAATTTTTAGACAGTGTAAATTCTACATACATTCAAAACCAGGAAGAAGTGTTCTACATATAAGAAATAATTCTAAACTCAACCTATTTTCGCTTTGTAAAATCGCTAAAATCCCCACTTCTCTCTCTCGCGTATTACTTCCGCAAAAACCCGGTCAATCTCGCTAAGTGCTCGATAGGCTCACCAGATTTGCCGTTGATGTCTTTGGCTTTGAGATTTCTCGCTTTGAGCAATGTCAACGTTAAGATGCTGTTGCTGGGGTGATAACACAGGGAGGTTAGAAGTTCGCCGCATTTATCTTTGGCTGGCGGCTTGAGCGCCTTCCAGAACGACGGCTTCTCGCTCAGATCCACCTAAAACAAAACACAAGTCGCCTTGAAACAACTAATTGTCCCCGGATCGATGCAGACATTAGGAAATTGCCATCCGATGCCTCGATATCTTCATAACGACGCAAAAACAAAGGGCCGCCCGCGTGGGAAATAACGCCATTATCGGCGTCTTTCGAAGTTTTGAAACGACAGGTGATCGAAACAGTTCGGGCCGGATATTAAAACGCTCGCAACTTCGGAACTCTATTAATTTTTATTGTAAAGTCGGCGACCAAGCGCGGATTAGAAAAACTCGACCCGGAATCGCGGCCTCCTGTTTCAGCCGATGATGAACTTTTCGCACGAGTTTCGACCGGGGTGAAGTTTCCTTGAAATTAATATGGAGGACGCGATGTCACGTACGAAGCCGAGAGAAACTTTCTCTTCAAGAATTTAATTAAAAAACTGGCGCCCGATCAAAAACTGGTGCCCGATCAAATTAATTTTATTATTTTACGTAATCAGCGGTCCTAATCTTCGTTAAAATTAGATATTTTTCTACCTAGAGAACGATCTTTCAACATCACACAATGTTAAAGGAGAATATTTAAAATTAGAAATTTCAGTGCGTTTTATTTTTAAATCTTTTTCTTAGTACTTGTAAAGATAAGACTGATTTTGGCAAATGATATATCCTTTAAGAAAACAGAGGGGCGGGTGGGTGGGGCTTATACTTGCTAAGATAAGACTGATTTTAATGTTTTTTAGCGACCCGGTATAAATGTGTATCTCAGAAAATTTTTTTCTTTGAGCTCTACTTGTTTTTGCCTATTTACCTAAGTGACCTATTTTTGTTCTGTCTATTTTGTTCCAATGTAATAAGATAAGACTGATTTTGGCCAATGAAATACCTTCCAAGAAAATCGAGGGCGGGTGGGCGGGGCTAGTACTTATTAAGATACGAGTGATTTTGGCAAATTACATACCTTCTAAGAAAATAAAGGGCGGGTGGGTGGGGTTCGTACTTCTTAAGACAAGGCTGATTTTGGCAAATAATATAATGTGCTTCGGTGTATAGAAAATTTAGGTTTTAGAACAAAATAGTCACAAAAAATTGGTTATAAGTTATTTCGACAGAACTTCCCTGGCTCCTAAAGTACAGTCGAACAAATACAACTTCGGAAAATTGTTATCAACTTTAAATTTGAGATTTTTGTCATCTGTATAGTCAGTTTTTCCATGTAATTTTTTTTTTTGATAACGTCATTAACATTTGAGCAAGGGCAGATATATCAATTTAGTACTAATAGACTCCTTGGAGTTTTGGCACCCTTGGAATCCCCGAAATTTTTAAATTTAAAGAAGACTGAACTTTCACATCATTTGGAATATTTTCACAAATTTAGTAAAATGTTTAGAATTGATTAAATTTTTGAAATTTTCAGAAGTTCCAGATTTTCTAAATGTTATTAAAATATCATTCTTGTGACATGTCAGAGTTCAACATTTTCCTCAGTTTTCAAGATTTCTAGGTCTTCCAGATTTTTCACACTTTCTAGAAAAGTATTTCCAAATTTTCTAAAATTAATAGACCCCAAGAGTCTTTAAATCTTTCAAATTCTTGGAATCTCTGGAATCTTTAGAATTGTGTAAGATAAGAATAACTGGGGTGTACGATTTTTTATAGTTTTAGGATTTTTATTTTGTTTAGAGTCTTTGGAATGTCTAAAATTTTTGCCATGTTAAGAGTTCATGCGTTTTTTACAAATTATAGAATCTTTGAAATAGTTGGAAAGAATTTTGAAAAACTTTTTAACGTTTGAGTCCTTTGAGTATTTAGAATCTTTAGAGTTTTCAGAGTCCTTAGACTTTTGAAATTTTGAGATTTAATATTTTTTATTTTCTTTTCATTTTTGGAAATTTTACTGTTTAGCCCAATTTTTCGGATTTTCCAAAGTACACAAAATGATTAAATTCCCACATTTTCCAAAATTTCAAAAATTATCAGGTTCCAGGTATACCAGAAATTTGAAATTCAGCCTTTTCCAATATTTTCAAGATTTCTAGCTGTACCACATTTTTCCACACTTTCTAAACTTTTTCAGATTTTCTAAAATTTATAGATCTCAAGAGTCTAAATAATTCGAATTTTTGGAATCTCTGGAATCTTTACAGTTTCCAAAATTTATAAATCAATAATTAGGGTGTTCAAGTCTGTTAGGATTTATAAAAATTAAAGAAAGCATTTTTCTGATCTTTACGATTTTTAGGTCTTTAAGATTTTTGTTTTCTTTAAAGTCTTTGGAATTTTTAAAATCTGTGGTATTTTAAGAGTTCACGCGATCTTTCCAAGTTTTAGAATCTTTGGCCTTTTGGAATTTCTCTAGAACCTTTAGAATCTTTCAAGTATTCGAAACAGAATTTTAGCTTTTGACACCTTAGGGTCCTTAGAGTCTTTAGACCCTTTAGACCCTTTCCAATCTAAGGAGATTTTGGGAATTACTAGGAGTTTTATAAAGCTTAAAATTTCTGCAATTTCTAAGATCATTAGAACCCCCAGTTTCTTTAAAATTTTTAAGATTTTGTTGAATCTTTTTTATATTTCGAACATTAGAACTTTAGTTTATTTAGAATCTTAAGTGTCTTTACAATTCGCAGTTTCTAGTGTATGTAATCCGTGAAAGCTTTTATACTTTCTGAGTTTTAAAACCACTTTGGAATCTTTAGAATCTCTAGAATCTAGAATTACTAGAATTTCTGTAATCTTTAGAGCTTTCAGATTTTCATTATTTTTAGAAACTTCAGTATCTCTAGAATTTTAAATACTCCTAGATCTTTAGGATTTTTATCATCTTTCCAATTTTTAAATATTTGGAATCTGTGGAATCTTCGGAATTTTTGGAAACCCTGAAATACCTTTAGATTTTTTAAATTGCCGGCTTCTCTAGCTTTTTTTAATTTTTTGAAATTCCTGAAATCCTAGTAGTCCTTAGGAGTTTTTGCCATCCTTGAAAGCCTTAAAACCTTTGAAAGGGTTAGAATATCTGGGACTTTCACAACATTTGGAATCTTTCCACAAATTCGGTCAGAATTTTAGAATTTCTGTAATTTCTAGAATAACACTTTTATTCAGTTTTACATTTTTTCCAAAATTCTGGATGTCTAGGGCGAAAATTCAGCACGGATTAAGACGTATCTTATTGTGCAAAATTTAAAAAACCATTTAATATAATTTTTTTTTCTCCTCTAAGAAAATAGAGAGTGAGTGGGTTTTCAAAATAGAATTCAATTCCTATTTCACAGTAAATAAAGGAAGTCAGTGATATGGAGACAGTAGATGAGGGGGGGCGGGTTAGTTTTTCTGCAGAGTCTCATAAACAACCAGTAGCCCTGTTCACCCACCCCTTCTTGATAATAATAATAATAATAAAAATAATTTTACCTTCAGAAAATATTGTAGAGAAAATATCTAAGAAGAGATTGTCACAATAAAATAATACAAAAAAAATGATCGAAGATTACTTTGACAGAACTTCCCTTTCCCATAAAGTACAGCTTATCAAATCCAGTTCGTTCGAAAAACTAAAAGATTTGATTTTGCGAATTTTATTGTTTTTTAGCGACCCTGTATAAATGTATAATTGAGAAAATTCTTTTGTTTGAGCTTTACTTGTTTTTGCCTATTTACCTAAGTGACCTATTTTTGTTCTGTCTATTTTGTTCCAATGTAATAAGATAAGACTGATTTTGGCCAATGAAATACCTTGAACGAAAATCGAGGGCGGGTGGGCGGGGCCAATGTTTTCTAAGATAAGACTGATTTTGGCAGACGATATACCTTCTAAGAAAATAAAGGGCGGGTGGGTGGGGTTTGTACTTCTTAAGACAAGGCTGATTTTGGCAAATAATATAATGTGCTTCGGTGTATAGAAAATTTAGATTTTAGAACAAAATAGTCACAAAAAATTGGTTGTAAGTTATTTCGACAGAACTTCCCTAGCTCCTAAAGTACAGTCGAATAAATACAACTTCGGAAAATTCTTATCAACTTTAAATTTGAGACTTTTTTTCATCTTTATAGTCAGTTTTTCCTTATAATTTTTTTTTATAACGTCATTAACATTTCAGCAAGGGCAGATATATCAATTTAGTATTAATAGACTCCTTGGAGTTTTGGCACCCTTGGAATCCCCGAAATTTTTAAATTTGAAGAAGACTGAACTTTCACATCATTTGAAATATTTTCACAAATTTAGTAAAATGTTTAGAATTGATTAAATTTTTGAAATTTTCAGCAGTTCCAGATTTTCTAAATGCTATTAAAATATCATTCTTGTGATATGTCAGACTTCAACATTTTCCTCAGTTTTCAAGATTTCTAGGTCTTCCAGATTTTTCACACTTTCTAGAAAAGTATTTCCAAATTTTCTAAAATTAATAGACCCCAAGAGTCTTTAAATCTTTCAAATTCTTGGAATCTCTGGAATCTTTAGAATTGTGTAAGATAAGAATAACTTGGGTGTACGATTTTTTATAGTTTTAGGATTTTTATTTTGTTTAGAGTCTTTGGAATCTCTAAAATTTTTGCCATGTTAAGAGTTCATGCGTTTTTTACAAATTATTGAATCTTTGAAATAGTTGGAAAGAATTTTGAAAAACTTTTTAACGTTTGAGTCCTTTGAGTATTTAGAATCTTTAGAGTTTTCAGAGTCCTTAGACTTTTGAAATTTTGAGATTTAATATTTTTTATTTTCTTTTCATTTTTGGGAATTTTCCAGATTAGCTCAATTTTTCAGATTTTCCAAAGTACACAAAATGATTAGAATTCCCACATTTTCCAAAATTTCTAAAATCATCAGGCTCCAGGTATACCAAAATTTTGAAATTCAGCCTTTTCCAATATTTTCAAGATTTCTAGCTGTACCACATTTTCCCACACTTTCTAAATTTTTCAGATTTTCTAAAATTTATAGATCTCAAGAGTCTAAATATTTCGAATTTTTGGAATCTCTGGAATCTTTACAGTTTCCAAAATTTATAAATCAATAATTAGGGTGTTCAAGGCTGTTAGGATTTATAAAAATTAAAGAAACCATTTTTCTGATCTTTACGATTTTTAGGTCTTTAAGATTTTTGTTTTCTTTAAAGTCTTTGGAATTTTTAAAATCTTTGGTATTTTAAGAGTTCATGCGATCTTTACAAGTTTTAGAATATTTGGCCTTTTGGAATTTGTCTAGAATCTTTAGAATCTTTCAAGTATTCGAAACAGAATTTTAGCTTTTGACACCTTAGGGTCCTTAGAGTCTTTAGACCCTTTAGACCCTTTCCAATCTAAGGAGATTTTGGGAATTACTAGGAGTTTTATAAAGTCTAAAATTTCTGCAATTTCTAGGATCATTAGTACCCCCAGTTTCTTTAAATTTTTTAAGATTTTGTTGAATTTTTTTTATATTTCGAACATTAGAACTTTAGTTTGTTTAGAATCTCAAGTGTCTTTACAATTCGCAGTTTCTAGTATATGTAATCCGTGAAAGCTTTTATACTTTTTGAGTCTTTCAAACCACTTTGGAATCTTTAGAATCTCTAGAATCTTTACAATCACTAGAATTTTAAATACTCCTAGATCTTTAGGATTTTTATCATCTTTCCAATTTTTAAATATTTGGAATCTGTGGAATCTTCGGAATTTTTGGAAACCCTGAAATACCTTTAGATTTTTTAAATTGCCGGCTTCTCTAGCTTTTTTTAATTTTTTGAAATTCCTGAAATCCTAGTAGTCCTTAGAAGTTTTTGCCATCCTTGAAAGCCTTAAAACCTTTGAAAGGGTTAGAATATCTGGGACTTTCACAACATTTGGAATCTTTCCACAAATTCGGTCAGAATTTTAGAATTTCTGTAATTTCTAGAATAACACTTTTATTCAGTTTTACATTTTTTCCAAAATTCTGGATGTCTAGGGCGAAAATTCAGCACGGATTAAGACGTATCTTATTGTGCAAAATTTAAAAAACCATTTAATATAATTTTTTTTTCTCCTCTAAGAAAATAGAGAGTGAGTGGGTTTTCAAAATAGAATTCAATTCCTATTTCACAGTAAATAAAGGAAGTCAGTGATATGGAGAAAGTAGATGAGGGGGGGGGGTTAGTTTTCCTGCAGAGTCTCATAAACAACCAGTAGCCCTGTTCACCCACCCCTTCTTGATAATAATAATAATAATAAAAATAATTTTACCTTCAGAAAATATTGTAGAGAAAATATCTAAGAAAGGATTGTCACAATAAAATAATACAAAAAAATGATCGAAGATTACTTTGACAGAACTTCCCTTTCCCATAAAGTACAGCTTATCAAATCCAGTTCGTTCGAAAAACTAAAAGATTTGATTTTGCGAATTTTATTGTTTTTTAGCGACCCTGTATAAATATATAATTGAGAAAATTCTTTTGTTTGAGCTTTACTTGTTTTTGCCTATTTACCTAAGTGACCTATTTTTGTTCTGTCTATTTTGTTCCAATGTAATAAGATAAGACTGATTTTGGCCAATGAAATACCTTCCAAGAAAATCGAGGGCGGGTGGGCGGGGCTAATGTTTTCTAAGATAAGACTGATTTTGGCAGACGATATAGCCTCTAAGAAAATAGGGGCGGGTGGGCGGGGCTACTACTTATTAAGATACGAGTGATTTTGGCAAATGACATACCTTCTAAGAAAATAAAGGGCGGGTGGGTGGGGTTCGTACTTCTTAAGACAAGGCTGATTTTGGCAAATAATATAATGTGCTTCGGTGTATAGAAAATTTAGGTTTTAGAACAAAATAGTCACAAAAAATTGGTTATAAGTTATTTCGACAGAACTTCCCTGGCTCCTAAAGTACAGTCGAACAAATACAACTTCGGAAAATTGTTATCAACTTTAAATTTGAGATTTTTGTCATCGGTATAGTCAGTTTTTCCATGTAATTTTTTTTTGATAACGTCATTAACATTTCAGCAAGGGCAGATATATCAATTTAGTATTAATTGACTCCTTGGAGTTTTGGAACCCTTGGAATCCCCGAAATTTTTAAATTTAAAGAAGACTGAACTTTCACATTATTTGGAATATTTTCACAAATTTAGTAAAATGTTTAGAATTGATTAAGTTTTTGAAATTTCCAGAAGTTCCAGATTTTCTAAATGTTATAAAAATATCAGTCTTGTGATATGTCAGAGTTCAACATTTTCCTCAGTTTTCAAGATTTCTAGGTCTTCCAGATTTTTCACACTTTCTAGATATGTATTTCCAATTTTTCTAAAATTAATAGACCCCAAGACTCTTTAAATCTTTCAAATTCTTGGAATCTCTGGAATCTTTAAAATTGTGTAAGATAAGATTTTTTATAGTTTTAGGATTTTTATTTTGTCTAGAGTCTTTGGAATGTCTAAAATTTTTGCCATGTTAAGAGTTCATGCGTTTTTTACAAATTAATCTAAATAGTTGGAAAGAATTTTGAAAAACTTTTTAACGTTTGAGTATTTAGAATCTTTAGAGTTTTCAGAGTCCTTAGACTTTTGAAATTTTGAGATTTAATATTTTTTATTTTCTTTTCATTTTTGGAAATTTTACTGTTTAGCCCAATTTTTCGGATTTTCCAAAGTACACAAAATGATTAAATTCCCACATTTTCCAAAATTTCAAAAATTATCAGGCTCCAGGTATACCAGAAATTTGAAATTCAGCCTTTTCCAAAATTTTCAAGATTTCTAGCTGTATCACATTTTTCCACACTTTCTAAACTTTTTCAGATTTTCTAAAATTTATAGATCTCAAGAGTCTAAATATTTCGAATTTTTGGAATCTCTGGAATTTTTACAGTTTCCAAAATTTATAAATCAATAATTAGGGTGTTCAAGGCTGTTAGGATTTATAAAAATTAAAGAAAGCATTTTTCCGATCTTTACGATTTTTAGGTCTTTAAGATTTTTGTTTTCTTTAAAGTCTTTGGAATTTTTAAAATCTTTGGTATTTCAAGAGTTTATGCGATCTTTACAAGTTTTAGAATCTTTGGCCTTTTGGAATTTTTCTAGAACCTTTAGAATCTTTCAAGTATTCGAAACAGAATCTTAGCTTTTGACACCTTAGGGTTCTTAGAGTCTTTAGACCCTTTAGACCGTTTCCAATCTAAGGAGATTTTGGGAATTACTAGGAGTTTTATAAAGCCTAAAATTTCTGCAATTTCTAGGATCATTAGTACCCCCAGTTTCTTTAAAATTTTTAAGATTTTGTTGAATCTTTTTTATATTTCGAACATTAGAACTTTAGTTTATTTAGAATCTTAAGTGTCTTTACAATTCGCAGTTTCTAGTGTATGTAATCCGTGAAAGCTTTTATACTTTCTGAGTTTTAAAACCACTTTGGAATCTTTAGAATCTCTAGAATCTAGAATCACTAGAATTTCTGTAATCTTTAGAGCTTTCAGATTTTCATTATTTTTAGAAACTTCAGTATCTCTAGAATTTTAAATACTCCTAGATCTTTAGGATTTTTATCATCTTTCCAATTTTTAAATATTTGGAATCTGTGGAATCTGCGGAATTTTTGGAAACCCTGAAATACCTTTAGATTTTTTAAATTGCTGGCTTCTCTAGCTTTTTTTAATTTTTTGAAATTCCTGAAATCTTAGTAGTCCTTAGGAGTTTTTCGCATCCTTGAAAGTCTTAAAACCTTTGAAAGGGTGAGACTTTCGCAACATTTGGAATCTTTCCACAAATTCGGTCAGAATTTTAGAATTTCTGTAATTTCTTGAATAACATTTTGATTAAGTTTTACATTTTTTCCAAAATTCCGGATGTCTAGGGCGAAAATTCGCCACGGATTCAGACGTATCTTATTGTGCAAAATTTAAAAAACTATTTAATATAAATTTTTGAGATGACGTCATCCCATTGGTGGTGGGGATGATGAAATCCATAAATATTATTATTATTATTATTAGAAATGCATTGTCCAATTTACTATTCTCCATAACCTGTTGTAACTAGGTGGGAACATGGTTAAATGCAGTTGTATTTTATACCAGAAACTACAATATAATTAAGAATTTTAGAAAAAAATGTAGGTTTTAATACGTTGTCGCTTGTGTCGATGTTGAAAGATCGTTTTCAATGTTAAAAACCTGGCGCCCGATCAAAAACTGGTGCCCGACTTGCTTACCTGACATAGCGGCAAGAACACCTCCCCGATGGAGTCGTCCCTCGAGAACCTGTCGTAGTCGAAGACGTGCAAGTGCAGCACCCGCGACTGCAGCTTCTGGATGGGGAAACCCTCGAAGTAGAAGGTTTCGTTCCAGCGGGGGTTCAGCGTCCGTCTCTTGATCTTGGTCTCCAGGCGGTGCTTCTTGTCGGGCAGGAGCGTGACGCGGACGTAAGGGTCGCTGGTTCCCGACAGATCCTTAGCCGGCAGGTCCTTGCCCTGTGACATTTAAAAACGGTATAAATAGTCGCGAATTTCGAAAATCTTGGGTCGTGTCGCTGGTCAAAGGACAAGGTCGGAGCGGTGGGGCGAAATAAAATCGCGGCCGCTACTGACGAAGAGCAGCGGAGCGTGGATGGACTCATCGATTACGAGAGGCGACCTCGGCTGCAGACCGGGGATGCAGTGGGGTATTTTTGTGTAAAGGAGGCGGGAGGTGTGGGTATTACGGGATGCAAGGTTTTAAATAAATCGGGAGCGTTCGATTGGTTGCTAAAATGCCATTTTGGAGCTTCTAATTAGATAAAGTGGATTGCCGGTAAGTTAACAAAGAGCTGAAAACGTCAAGATTAAAGTTGCTGTAAACAACTTCAGAAGCTTTTGTTCGTTTTATTGTGTTTTTATAGATCGACTAAAATTGTAGTGTGATTATTGATTTGGCTCATTAACGAACTTCGTGCAGCTTTACAATACAACCCAATAATTATAATTCAAGGATTTATGTTAAATTTGAGTCTTTGAGTCTTTTTTAAGACTACGAGTTTTATCTGTCACATATCTACAAGCTGATTTTTTTTCTAAATAAAACTGCCAAGATTCTTCCAGAAAGACCTCAAAGATTCCTTGAAAACATATCAGGAAAAAACTACAAAGGAATCCAAGATTCTTTAAAAATTTTCCAGAAAAATAAATATCTGGTTTATGAAATAGGAAACCATCAGCCCTCAATATTTTTTTAAAGTTTCTAGGAAAACAAAATACCAAAATTCTTTGAAAATATTTTAGGAAAAAAACTAGGAAGCCCATGATTCCTTCGGGTTCTTTCTAAAACAAAAGGCTAGGGATTCTAAGATTTTTTGACGTTCTTTCTAAAAAAAAACTTTAGAATCAACAATAGAGACTTTCAACATTCTTTGAAAGTATTTCCGAAAGAAAATACCATTTTTTTGGGTTCTTTTTAAAATAAAAAGATTCTTTGAAACTCGTTTATTCAAGTTCTTTCTAAAATAAAACACTCGGGACTCGAGATTTTTAGAGTTAAATGAGCTTCAGGAAGCCTAAAAGTCTTATTAAAATAAAACAAACTGTAAAGGAAGCTAAGGTCTTTTCACTTATTTTATTAAATGAAACATTCGCGACCCGAGATTTTTTAAGGTTCTTCTTTAATTAAAACACTAGTGTTTATAGGACTCCTCAATTTTTTAAACTAAAATAAAACACTCAAAATTTTTGTTTTTTAAATCTTTGGATTGCTTCTACAGTAAAACATACAGTCTCGAGATTCTTTAAGGTTCTTAAAGCATTAAGAAACCCAAGGTTTTTTTTTCCCAAATCAACTAACATGGTAAGCTAAGTTCTTTCCACTTATTTTATTTAATAACACTTGGAACTCGAGATTTTTTAAGGTTCTTCCTCAATTGAAACACTAGGGATTTTTGGATTCGCCAGTTTTTTAAACTAAAAGGCAAAACCAGGAACCAAAGTTTCTTTAAGTTTCTTCCTCAAATAAAACACAAGGTGGGGCCCAAGGTTTTTAGGTTCTTTTTAAAATAAAACCCTCGGCACTCGAGATTTTCAAGGTTCTCAAATAATGCACTAGGGAGCTAAAGGTTTTTTCAGGTTCTGTTTAAAATAAAGCACTCAGAATCCGAGATTATTTTAAGGTTCTCAAATAAAGTACTAAGGAGCCTAAGGTTCTTTCAGGTTCTTTTTAAATTAAAATACACAATCTCGAGATTCTTTAAGGTTATCAAAGCATTAAGAAACCTAAGGTTCTTTCAGGTTTTTATCAAAATAAAACATTCAGTTTCGAAATTCCTTGAGGCCCTTCCTCAAATAAAATAACACGGGAAATTAAAGTCTTTTTCGCTTTTTTTGTTAAATAAAACATTTGGAACTCGAGATTTTTTAAGGTTCTTCCTTAAATAAAACACTAGGGACTCTAGGATTCCTTAATTTTTTAAACTAAAATAAAAAACAGGGACCCGGGATTTTTTCAGGTTCTTTTTAAGATAAAACGCTCGGGATCCGAGATTTTTTAAAGTTCTTAAATGAAGCCCCAGGGAGCCTAAGATTCTTTCACGTTTCTTTTAAAATATAGTACTCAGAATTCGAGATTATTTAAGGTTCTTTTTAAGATCAAACACTCGGGACCCGAGATTTTTTAAAGATCTTAAATAAAGCCCCAGGAAGACTAAGATTCTTTCAAGTTCTTTTTAAAATAAAGCACTCAGAATCCGAGATTATTTTATGGTTCTCAAATAAAGTACTAAGGAGCCTAAGGTTCTTTCAGGTTCCTTTTAAATTAAAACACACAGTCTCGAGATTCTTTAAGGTTTTCAAAGCATTAAGAAACCTAAGGTTCTTTCTAGCTTTTTATTAAAATAAAACATTCAGTTTCGAGATTCCTTCAGGCCCTTCCTCAAATAAAATAACACGGGAACCTAAGGTCTTTCACGCTTATTTTATTAAATAAAATATTAGGAACCCGAGATTTTTTAAGGTTCTTCCTCAAATAAAACACTAGGAACTCTAGGATTCCTCAATTTTTTTAAACTAAAATAAAAAAACAGGGACCCGAAATTCTTTCAGGTTCTTTTTAAGATAAAACACTCGGGATCCGAGATTTTTTAAAGTTCTTAAATGAAGCCCCAGGGAGACTAAGATTCTTTTAGGTTCTTTTTAAAATAAAGCACTCAGAATCCGAGATTATTTTAAGGTTCTCAAATAAAGTACTAAGGAGCCTAAGGTTCTTTCAAGTTCCTTTTAAATTAAAACACACAGTCTCGAGATTCTTTAAGGTTTTCAAAGCATTAAGAAACCTAAGGTTCTTTCAGGTTTTTATCAAAATAAAACATTCAGTTTCGAAATTCCTTGAGGCCCTTCCTCAAATAAAATAACACGGGAAATTAAAGTCTTTTTCGCTTTTTTTGTTAAATAAAACATTTGGAACTCGAGATTTTTTAAGGTTCTTCCTTAAATAAAACACTAGGGACTCTAGGATTCCTTAATTTTTTAAACTAAAATAAAAAAACAGGGACCCGGGATTTTTTCAGGTTCTTTTTAAGATAAAACGCTCGGGATCCGAGATTCTTTAAAGTTCTTAAATGAAGCCCCAGGGAGCCTAAGATTCTTTCACGTTTCTTTTAAAATATAGTACTCAGAATTCGAGATTATTTAAGGTTCTTTTTAAGATCAAACACTCGGGACCCGAGATTTTTTAAAGATCTTAAATAAAGCCCCAGGGAGACTAAGATTCTTTCAAGTTCTTTTTAAAATAAAGCACTCAGAATCCGAGATTATTTTATGGTTCTCAAATAAAGTACTAAGGAGCCTAAGGTTCTTTCAGGTTCCTTTTAAATTAAAACACACAGTCTCGAGATTCTTTAAGGTTTTCAAAGCATTAAGAAACCTAAGGTTCTTTCTAGCTTTTTATTAAAATAAAACATTCAGTTTCGAGATTCCTTCAGGCCCTTCCTCAAATAAAATAACACGGGAACCTAAGGTCTTTCTCGCTTATTTTATTAAATAAAACATTAGGAACCCGAGATTTTTTAAGGTTCTTCCTCAAATAAAACACCAGGAACTCTAGGATTCCTCAATTTTTTTAAACTAAAATAAAAAAACAGGGACCCGAAATTCTTTCAGGTTCTTTTTAAGATAAAACACTCGGGATCCGAGATTTTTTAAAGTTCTTAAATGAAGCCCCAGGGAGACTAAGATTCTTTTAGGTTCTTTTTAAAATAAAGCACTCAGAATCCGAGATTATTTTAAGGTTCTCAAATAAAGTACTAAGGAGCCTAAGGTTCTTTCAAGTTCCTTTTAAATTAAAATACGCAGTCTCGAGATTCTTTAAGGTTATCAAAGCATTAAGAAACCTAAGGTTCCTACCTTAAACATCCAGTCTCGAGATTATTTAAGGTCTTTTCACTTATTTTTTCAATAAAACATTCGGGACCCGAGGTTTTTTAAGGTTTTTCCTCAACTAAAATACCAGGGATTCTGGGATTCTTCAATTTTTTAAAATAAAATAAAACACCAGGAACCCGAGATTCTTTAAGGTTCTTTCTCAAATAAAACACAAGGAAGCCTAAGGTTTTTAGGTTCTTTTAAAGATAAAACACTCGGCTTCCGAGATTGTCAAGGTTCCTAAATGAAGCCCCAGGGAGAATAAGATTCTTTTAGGTTCTTTTTAAGATGAAACACTCGTAGCTCAAGATTCTTTAAGGTTCTCAAATACAGTACTAAGGAACCTCAGGTTCTTTCAGGTTCCTTTTAAAGGAAAACAGAATCTCGAGATTCTTTAAGGTCGTTCCTCAAATTAACTAACAAGGGAAGCTAAGGTCTTTTCATTTATTTTTTTAAATAAAACATTCGGAACCCGAGGTTTTCTAAGGTACTTCTTCAACTAAAATACTAGGAATTCTGAGATTTTTCAATTTTTTAAACTAAAATAAAAAAACAGGAACCCGAGATTTTTTAAGGTTCTTTCTCAAATAAAACTTAAGGAAGCTTACGGTTTTTAGGTTCTTTTAAAGATAAAACACTCGGCTTCCGAGATTGTCAAGGTTCTGAAGTAATGCACTAGGGTGCCAGAGGTTTTTTCAGGTTCGTTTTAAAATAAAGCACTCAGAACCTGAGATTTTTTAAGGTTCTCAAAGCCTTAAAAACATAAGGTTCTTATTAAAATAAAACTTTCAGTTTCGAGATTTTTTAAGGTCGTTCCTCAAATTAACTAACAAGGGAAGCTAAGGTCTTATTTTATTAAATAAAACACCGGGAACCCGAGGTTTTACTAGGTTCTTCCTTCAACTAAAACACTAGGGATTCTAGGATTTCTGTATTTTTTTAAACTAAAATGAATAACCAGGGACCCGAGATTCTCTAAGGTCGTTCTTCAAACAAAATGCAAGGGAGTCTAAGGTTTTTAGGTTCTTTTTAAGATAAAACACTCGATACTTAAGATTTTTAAGGCTCTGAAATAATGCACTAGAGACTCA